AGCCGGTGTGACAACCCCCTAAGCAGAGCGTGCAGGCAGCTGCCCCGAGCCGCGTAAATCGTTAAGGCAGAGAGTGACGGGGCCGTCTGCGTGCAGAGAGCGCTGGGAAGCAAAGTGACAGATCACACAATGAATTTGCACAATTCCATTTAAAGACAGACTGCTATTTAAAGCACTTCAGTGAACGACGATGTGCCTGCAAGCCAGAGCCGGGATGAAGCGATGATTCATTCTGGGACATGCTGGGCTACTTCAGAGCTGCTGGCTGGAGTTCTCCAAGCTGCCGAGGCAAAGTTACTCTTTTTGTTTCTTCCACTGGTGATTTTTTTTTCCCCCCTCATACTGTAATAAATCGATAACATTTTTTGATGTAAAGTAAAGCTGAACCTCCTCTGATTGTCTTGGTGGTAGTGTTGGGGCTACCTAGCTTCAAGGACAAGAGCTAGCCGGTGTGACAACCCCCTAAGCAGAGCAAAATTTGCAGTTGTGGATGCTTTTCACTGCTGTTCTGTATGCGCAGGCGTTATTCCAGAGAGATGCCATGCCGTCGCTGTGTAACGAGCGCTGCTGTTACCCTACGAAGTGCAAACGGGTGGCTGTACTTCACAGGTCCTGTGCTTTGTAATCACTGCTCCTAACGTACGTCGTCTTGAATTCTGTAGAAATTCGTGGGATTTGGGGTTTTTTAATGGGGTGAAGCTGGCAATTAAATTGAAATAAAATCTGTACTGAGAAAAAAATGCTGCTGTTGTTCTTGTAGTTAATGCTTTGCGCTTCCTTCCAGAAGCACCCCGCAACGTGTTGTTGCCCGCCCGCGGCTGCTGTCCTCCGACTGGCTCCCTCCTGGTCTCTGCTCTGTGATGGGTAAAGGTTTGTTTTGGGTAGTTGCGTTTTCATCTGCTTTCAAAAGTCTGCGGTTTTTCTGCTTATCTTGTTGAGTGATCTGAAGTTAAGCGGGACACCTCGCTGCAAAGACTGGGTGTCTTTTGGTAAAGCCCCGGCTTCGTGTCGTTTTGGTAGTCCGATGGATCATTACCCATCAAGACGGGCTCGGAGGCCTACCTCTTCTTGGTATAAAGTGACTTTGACACAAGATTGATTTTAAGGGTTACTTTGACCACCCAAAAAGGGACTTCAGGTAAGAAAAACATGCGGACACGTTTGTTACTGGCCTGTTCTTTTGGGTAAACTTTGAAGGGGGATCTGCTGGCCCAGGTGCTGCGATGGGCAGCGTCAAGGATCCTACCAAAGCAACGTGTTGCTGTAGCAGGAGAAGCTTCAGGGGGAGTCGCTGCCCCGCAGCCCGGATTGCATCCCCCGCTGCAACGCTTGCTTCGGGGGCCAAGAGGAACCCCAGCGCCTCGGCGCCTTCCCATAGCGGGTGAAACACTGTTAAACAGGAGCTTGGTTGCCAGCGTCACCGGAGGATGATCTGTTTTTGAGAGAATTGTGGATCAGCAAGAGAGATCCTCTTGATCCTTTGCCCTCCCTTGGAGTGTCTCTGCCCGATGAGCTGGAACGAGAGCCTCTTCCCCCTTCCCTGCTCGCTGGCGTGTGGCTCTTCGGGGGAAGAGGGAGAGGAGCAGCTTTTCTTACCGGGAGGACGCACTTGCCTCCGTGCTGAGCAGGCATGTGGTGCCCAGACCCTCTGCCACTGCAGCAGAGGTCTTGTGCCTGGTGCCAGGAGAAGGGACCGGCACAGAGCTTTTCTCCGTGGACGTCATCAAGGTTTTGATGTGAGCGAAAAACAGCTCGATTAAGCCACAAAACTGTAGGATTTGGGGGAGGGGGTAATTTTCATTACAGCTTCAACTCGTCCACTTCATAGGGACGTTATTAATGCCAAATGCAGAAGAAACCGGTGGCTGGAGATGAGGCAGGTATGCAGCAGCAGCGTCGCGCTGTTTAATTCAGTGTAGCTGTTTTGGCATAAAAGAGCATTTCGGGTGAATCCTTTCTATTTTGAAGCACGGGCCACTATACACTGCGGTCGCAAGGAGAAGCTTTCTGCCACGTTGCCGTTGATAAATCTTTAATAACGCTGTGCCTAGTAAAGCAAAAACCTTCCGTACTCGGTCTGTGCTTTGTGAGCTGGTAGCAGGGGAAGTCAGCTGCCAGCAGCCGGCGTGCCACAGCACCTGAAGTCTGAATAAATAACGGGCAAGTTGTGTCCTAAGTCCTCTCAGTAGCAAAATATTTCGTCACACTCGGGTGGGGTTTTTTTTTTTCCTTTCCTTTTAAGCCCAGGTTTTATCTACCCTGGGGGTTTCACAGCGCCCAAGCCCCGCGGCCCCTGTCCAGAGGGTGCTCCCTGCCATCCAGCGTCTGTCTCACAGGCGCTGGCACCGCCGCAGCACCGGGCGCCGGCTCCGGCAATGCCCCCGGACGGCGGCACTGCCTGGTCCCTGCGGCTGCCTCCCTGCTGAATGCCACAGCTCTGCGTTAACAGAGAGGGAGAGATCCAAGATTATTTTCCACTGTCTGCACTGGGCTAATTCGTATTAAAATCTGCTAGGAGAGGTTGAAAATAGGATGCCTGTGCCTCTTAAATATTCCTGATCTGTAATGGTTGCGGGCAGCTGGGTTACGCTTCTCTTCTCTCTGTGGAGGAAAAAATACCACCCATTGAGACTGAGATTTCCGAATCCTCGCGGGGCTGAGAAGCACACTGGAAATCTTGGGAAGAGCTGGGTTACCCTGGTCCCATGGCTGCCCGGGGAAAGCTCAACCCTCTGTCCCTCTCCCATCCCTCCCATGTCCTGGGGTGACATTTCCACTTGCCTGGGCGTTTCACTTTCAGTAAAGATTTGTTAAGAAGGTTCCCAAGCACAAAGTGGATTCCAGGTATTTTCAGAGAGGGAGAAGAGGCAGAAAAATCTGCGCTCTCCATCCTACCAATTCCAGCTTGGGGCTTGTCCTCGCTTGGAAGGACAACACATTTCTAAAATTCACAGGTGTCAGAACCAAAGGGTTGCTCCCGAGCAGAGGTGGTGCTTCCTGCCCCTTTCTCCTGCCAGACAAGCCGGCAGGAGGGCACAGAGCTCCCGGCCCCCGCTACGGTGGGGTACGGTAACCCAGGCCCCGGGCTGGTGCTCAAGATGCTGGAACGGGGGAAACAAGGGGTGGCACAAGAGAGACAGGCACCGTGCTGCAATAACCAGGAGTGAGCGGCGGTAGCTCTACTCTCACGCTTTTTCCTGCACACCAAGAGAGGAAAACCCAGAATTCGTCACTACTTTCAAGAGCAAAATTGAACCCGTTACGCAGAGATGAGCACTGACCGGCCAGCGGCTGTGCTGGACGCTTCTAGGTGCGTTACAGACTCCAAATGGGCACCTTCGCAGGCTCTTGGTAGCTTTTGCTCCCTGCCTCGCCCCTTACACAAGCTGGCTGTGTTCTGGTGGATTAAGGGTCCTGCAGAGGGGACGTTCTTGCCCCATCGCTGCGAGCGTGGGGCTGGACCGACTTCGGAATCCCTCACCTGGAGGGTTTATAAGGCGCGTACAGGAGCTTTTTCTCCCACCCTTAACTCACGTGCCACTCCCTGCCTGCTCTGCTTTAGTTTTATGGCGTTTCATGGTTAAGCAGCAAGGTGCAGTTAGAGCCTCCGGAGGTGAGAGGAGGCTCATCCGTCACTCTGAGATCCCACGTGTGCTTCTTTGGAGCGGGCTCAGAGTCACCCTGATTTATCCCTGCTGCTTTTCGCTGCTCTGGAAGAACTCCATCCTGCCAGGAGGTAGGAAGAGAGTTTAGTGCAGGTAGGAACCAAATTCAAAATCCAGGTGTAGCAGGTAAAATGATAGCAGAAAATAATAATAATTATTAATAATAATAATTTAGGTTGAAATTTTCTGTGGAAGAGTTGCAAAGGCATCTTTCAGGGTATTCCCAGGCAGGGAGGCACAGGAGAAACTTTTCTGGACTAGCACGGAGTCATTAAGAAAACGAGTAGGAAGGAAATTCCTCATTCGGAGCTGGATGAAATTCAGCCCTGGATGAGTCTAGGCTGGTCCAAACTCTGGGAACACGAACAAGACGACTCGTCATTCCATCACACCCTGTCTCTGCAAGGGAAGGGGATATGCAAATTAAACAAAATGGTAACGGTGACATCAGGTTTAAAGATGCCGGCATCTCTATTTGATGAGCCTGGCGCCTTCAAGGTATCGTGATGAGACCCACCAGCGCGGCTGTGGGATGTGGGGCTTTCAAACCTGGGGGTTTTATCAGCATGGAGAAAAAAGAGCTTTTACAGACTGTGAAGGAGAAGACTGACCCGCACAGGGCCGTCCGTGGTGGCTTGCTCTCACGCTGCCCCCTTTAGCGCGCCTCGTACGGTTCGATTTTGTTAAGTCACATTCCCAGGATTTGAATCTCCACGAGCGATGGAGAGGCCTGGGGGGAAATACAGTCATTTCTTCCCTGAACAATGCTCTCCCTGGCATGCCTGATGAATCACATTTCCTGACACAGAAAAAAAATAAATCCTATTTCAGGGTAAGGACACGTAGCTGTCTCCCTCCATCGCGTCCGCAAGTCCAACACACACGTGAAACACAAGGCCTTTCCAACGCTGTCAATTATTTTCAGCCTCGATGCCAGAAAACCGGGGCAATGTTGGGTGGTGAAGAAACCATTTTGTTTGCAAATATTTTTGGCACCAGTGAAAATGGTTGGCAATGTTCGAGGAGTCCTGGTGCGGCGCTTCGTACCGTGGCACCAGATTTACCACTCACCTCCCAGCTGACTAAAACCTGTACCATAAAAAGGGGGTTGGGGCTGCCTCTGAGCTGGAAGATTGGGAAACGGAGGAGGAGGAGCGGAAGGCATCATGAAGGAGGCTGGAAGAAAAAGTAACCAGAGTTTTTCCCGTCTCCGTTTCTGACAAAGCCCAACTTGCCTGATGAGCAGGCATTGGAAAGTGTCTGCTCCCGGGTGGGGAGCTGCGGCACTCTCCGTGGGAAGGCAGCCGGACTATTAAACAGTTCTCATTATGAGATAATCCAAGGGGGGGGAAAACTAACCATGAAAACAGACCTTCACTTCAATAAACCGCGGCGAAGGAGAGACGTAACTTCAAAATAATCCATTGCATCCAAGAGCAGGGAAGGTAATTTTGTGTCACCCTGTTAGGAGGTTGGATAATAATTGGTTAGATATTGTTCTTGAAAAGATTGTGTTCTGTGTCTTCCGCTGTTTGTCATAACGTGTGCTGCAACGACGTGTCGGTGATGCTCCCGATGTCACAGCCAAGGGCCATTAGAGAAGTGGGGCCGAGGCTGAGCGTGTGCGTTTAATGCAGAGTAAAGAATTCAATCAGTGTGAAAATGTGAAATTCCCCCTTGCGAAGGAAGCAGCCTTTAATCACCGCATTGCCCCATGTCAGCCTTTTTGCTGTGTGTGTTACCTACCGTGGACAGGGTTTGCTCCCTGAGACAGCCGAGAGCCGCCTGCTAAGGGTGTGAGC